AGGAAGCCCCTCTCAGGGCCTCCAGAGCGTCCTAGACTTGCCCTCCAGTCGCTCAAGACAGAGCCTTGGCCGGCCTTCCGAGCGGAGAGCAAGAGCCCCCTTCAGGGCCCCCTGCTGCTCACCCTATCTATACCCGCCTGTCGTTGATAATATTGGGCGAATTGTAGATGACAAAGGGGAACCGCGCCGGTAGGGACAAGGCGTTGAAGCGGATGCAGCGCGAGTACCACTGGCACGCGGATTTTGACGCGCGGGAATTCACCGACCCCCGCATTATCCAGCCGCCGGGTCATTATCATCCCGTCCCTGGCAATTGCCAAGATCTACCACCTCCACCGCCTCTACCCGCAAGACCACTGCCCAGGGTTATCAAGTGGTGCGTTCCGTATCGCGCATGATGTGCATGATGCATCCATTGTCCTTGTTTAACGTTTGGTGAGCAACAAGGATAAACGATGCATTATGCGCATCATGCGAGAAACGGAACGCACCCAAGGTCGAAACTGTCACCGGACAGTTCAGCTCAACGCGCGCGTTCATTATGAAAACTGTACATAAATAAATTTTTTTTTTCTCTCCGCGAATAAACTCTCTACAATCATTTTGTGACAGTCGACCTCCTTTTTCTTAACTCCGGTAACCGTGATTATCGCCCTTGCCTCTCGGGGCGAGAATCACGCCGAGCCGTCGTTGGACGGGCCCACGCTGCGTCCGAGGGGCATCCGCACTCGCGCGCCCCGGACGTGACACTCATTTACACTAATTCGCGTTTGATATTTATCGTGAGTAAAACCTCATTCAATACAAGAATCGGATTTTTATTTTCCCTTGTATGGATTAAGATTGGCATCGGTCTCATGCAACAAAAATTTAAATTTATATGGCGCTACAAATGCTACTAGCGTAGCGATTGAAGCACTCGTAACATTAGTGGACCAACCGGAGCGTAGCGTTTGAAGCATAGCGTTTACAGCGGGTGGCACCCAGTTGGATACGGCTCAATTGGACACGAGCCACTCGCAGTGCTTGAGACTACAAAGCTCCTAAGCACCGGTCGCTGTGATTGGTGGTGTTCAATCGAGCCGTGATCAATCGGGATCACCCTTGTAGAAGATAAGTATAGATTTGGAGGGATTTGGCAATATGTGATTCACAGCGTAGATTACTTAACTTACATCAGGGTCATCGAAAAGTATCGAACCCCCCCCCCCTAATATCTTTAGTTAGAATGCATTTTGGAGAAAATGTCCAATAGCAAAGTTGTATGGTTTCAAGCGAAGAGTAAGATGATGACCTTGACTTTGATCTTGACCATATCCTTTAAAGTCATTTCAAGGTCAACCTTATTTTTTTAAATGGAACTCCCTACATTTTGTTTCATATTTTTACAGCTTACCTCGAGAGCTTTCCAAAACACTATAATAAAACATTTTTTCATTAAGAATTTTTTGAGTTATAAAGGTTTGAAATTAACAATTTGTTAATAGCGTTTTCGATTGGGGTGCACTGGCTGCACTCAGTGTCAAGAGCGTGTTCGATTGGCAGTGCCAATGCGCACTTGGCTAGTGTCACGTGTTCATTTGATCGCACGACACTCGCGTAGTGCGCACTCAGTGCCGCACTAAGTGGCACGAGATATTTTGATGGTGCCAGTTCAGTGCACGTTTTATCACAGTTAAGGATATACATAGGGACAAGCAAATCTGCGCAGTTGAATTGAAAACGGGGTCTTGTCCCTACTCTTAATATCTTTTACTGTGGTTTTGTAACATTTTGTTGAACATTGCTTCAAAGTGAACAAAAATGAGTTTCAGCTTTAGCACTGAAAATCTTGGCGTATTCTTCTGAACTTGCACTATTCAGTGCAACCCATGGAACTCGTCCAGTGTTGGTGTGATCTGAGTGCGCACTAGTGCGCACTGACTTTTGCCCAATCGAAAACGCTATATATTATCGACCTTGATTAACTTCGACCATTATTCCTAAACCTGATGTGAGAGCACGTGGAAAAATAAAAGGTTATATTTATAAATATAACATTTATGATGTATGTATTAATAATTTAATAAAGTACAGGTTATAGTTAAGAGAAACAAACTATCTGTTGCATTAACGAAATAATAAATAATTTTTTTAATACTTCTTTAATATAAAATGGGGTTATAAAGGTGTTAATCATATTCTATTTCTCACTCATGTGTTCAGTTATATGTTCTAAACTCACAATCTATGAAATTTTTTTAGATTATTCGAGTCAATCGCAAGAGTTCATTTATCATCAAAATGAAGGTGAAGAAGGTAAGCCAAAAGCCTCTTAACTGGAGAAAAGATAAACAATCAGTGATTGGTAAGAGAAAAAAAAAAAATTTGAATAAGTTGACCACAGAAGAGTTCTTTGAACAAAATTTTGAAACAGATAGCGATATATCTGATGATAATGAAGAAGATAAAAACATAGGTATGATCTAAAACATTTGAGTTTCTTTCATATATTAAATTATATATTTTATTTTTTATTATCTTTTTAGATAATAAAAACATTGAACAGATGGATAGTGACAACAGTGAAAATAACTTGGATCCAACAGAACACAAAAAATCATTAATAAAACTGATAGACACTGATCCCGAATTTTATAAATATCTGAAAGAAAATGACAAAAATCTTCTGGACTTTAAAGTATCAGATGATGAAGATGACGATAATTCTTTAATGAACAGTAATAGACATATTCCCAATGAAAATTTAGTGGTAAATATTCTTTTCATAAATAAATTTTAATTTTTCTATATTTTTTTTTATTTTTAAGCAATATTATTTATAGGTTGCTAGCGACGATAGCGATTTTCAGCCGGAAGAAACTGAAAGTGACTCTAAAAAGAAAATCACTAAACAGTTATTGAAGAATTGGCAACAAGAAATACAAACGGATAAGTAAGTTATTACTGAATTATTTTTTGAATTAATAGCAAAATAATAACTGCATTATGTTTAATTTGAAGATCGATAACCACTATTAAATGTACTGTAGAAGCCTTTCATGCAGCTTTGGATAGTGTTGCTGTAGTACCTGATAAGACTACAGAATATAAAGTAGAAGGAAGTACTAGTAAGTTCCAACTTCTATTATCAAACTGTTTACTATTTTTTAGTTAATCTATTAAAATTTGATAAATTTTAGTATTTAATGGTGTAATGCAACTATGTATAATGTATCTACCTGATGCATTTAAACGTTTTTTGAAGTTGGATCAAGAATCACAAGAAGCACATAAATCTAAAAGATTTGGAAAAATACGATGGATCTTAAAATTATACTTGTCTGATTTAATCAAAGTATGTATCTGTTAAATATTTAATTATATTATTTAATTTAAACACAACACTAATATATCATTTTCACAGTTATTACAAAGTGTAGCGTCACCTAGTATTCTTACGGTACTTCTAAAGCATCTACGCCAAATGTTACTTTATACCCGCTCGTTTTCGTCTTTAACTAAACCATTGTTAAGGATTTTGATAAAGTTTTGGTCATCTGCAGAAGAAATTATTCGAATTACAGCTTTCTTAAATATACTACATATTGCAACACATACAACTAACAAAGAATCTGTAATAGAGAAACTATTAAAGGTGAGATCCATATGTTATGATAAAAAGAATATTTATGGATTGTATCACAATTGTATTATTAAAAAATTTTCTTTTTTAGACCATGTATGTGAAATATGTTCAGAATACAAAATTTGTTTCACCTAACATGTTACCAGGAATAAATTTTATGAAACATTCTTTAGTTGAAATTTATTTACTCGATCATGATGTTTCATACAATCATTCCTTTCTATATATCAGGCAATTAGCGATTAATTTAAGAAATGCTATAACATTAAAGAGACAGGTAATTTTTAAAAAGATCATTTGTTGTATCTTTTATAATACCTATTCCAGAGGATTATAACAATTTTTTTCCAGGAAAACTTTCAAGCTGTATATAATTGGCAGTATATAAATTCTTTGCGTTTCTGGACAGAATTGATAATTAAATCAAAAGAGAAATCGATGTTACAATCACTGTTATATCCATTAGTTCAGGTATTAGTTAATTTATGTCTATTTCTATTAATGTAGATTAATGTTACTCTTGGTTTAATTATTTATTTTTTAACCTTTTCTAATTTTTAGAACTAGAAAAAGGTAAAAATTAAAATTAAAATTCTGCATAGGTATTAACTGGCATTAGACAAGCAAATTGTTATATATATATATATATATGCAGAATTTTAATTTTAATTTTTACCTTTTTCTAGTTCTAAAATATACAATTTATACAATAAATACAATTTATACAGTGCGATAACCGGCCAATCCTTTGGCATCTCCGTGAAAACTACAAAAATATTATAGAAACTACGTTAAATTTTATTTATTAACAGATTATTGTTGGGACAATGAAAGTAATTCCAACGGCACAATACTATCCATTGCGATTTCACTGCATAGAAATGTTAATAACCATTTCTAAGAAAACAGGAACATTTATACCTATTTTACCATTTCTTCTCGAGGTATCAATCATTTTTTATTCTTAAACATTTATAATTTTAGAATATGCAAATATTTTATGTCAAATTTTTCTATTTAGATACTGGATTCTTATGATTTTAATAAAAGGCATAAAACAATTACGATGAAACCTATACCATTTATTTGCATATTAAGAATGTCAAAATCGCAATTGATAGAGAATGGTTTCAAGGATAGTATTATTGAAACCGTTTATCGATTTATATTGGAAAATGCAGCAAACGATAGTTACAAGATATACTTTCCGGATATATACATACCTTGTATAATACAGGTATTAAAAAAAAAATTAAAACGGAAACTATTGATTTTTATTAGATTTATCATAAATAAATTGAATTGATATATTTTTGCAGTTAAAAGCATTTCTGAAGAAATGTTATGTAGCACCTTATTGCAAGAAAATAAAACAACTTCTAAATATGATTGAGGAAAATAGAAAATATATTGAAGCTGAGCGTATTAAAATAACGATAGATTTGAAGAATACGGCAGAGATCACAAATTGGGAAAATAGAATAAAAACAGATGGCACAGAAATATCCAAATTCTATACTTCTTGGATTGAAATTCATAAATCTCAGATGCTTAAACTTCTTACGAAGAACGAAGAAGTACTCAATGTACCGGTAAAAACACCGAAGAAGCAGAAACTGGACGAGCAAAATGCAGAGGATAGTGAAGAAGAGAGCGAGTTTGAGCTTCGGTTGAAGGGTACGGAATCCGAAACAGAAACGAAAAAGTCATTAAATAAGACGAAAAAGCGTAAGAAAAACAAAAAACAGAAGATAGCCAACAATATCGAAGATGAAAATTTGCCGAGAGAAGATACAGATATTGTACAAGATATAAATATCGACGATTGGGATTAAGAACAAAATAGAATTAATGATCATATAAGATGAATAATATAATATGTATTTTTTACATTCTGAAATACATTACAATAAAAACCCAGTAATAAAAAATGGATTAAAATGGATTGAAATTTTTGTTTATTTAATTGGATCGAAAAATTACATTTCCTATATTCAGAATTTTCAATTGAGCAGTATTCACGATGCACAAAAAGAAAAATTGATATTATTTTTAGATTGAAAGGCATAGAAACGTGCTTTATGCCTATAAATAAATAAAAATACATTCGGATTAAAAGATTTATTTTTAAAAAGGATTAATAAAATAATTTATTTTATTCGTGAATGCGTATTTCTGAAAATCTAAATCTATTTTAATCTATTTCAATCCATTCTCGTTTACCGGGAAATAAAATAAATCTTTGTCTTATTCTTATATTTGATATACCAATATAATTACTGAATTAATAATCTGTATTCTGTGCATTTATTTAATAAAAAAATTATACCAAATATATTAAATATATCAAATATATTAAATAAATTTTTAACATTAATAATATATTAAAAACTTTAATTTCAACGATTAAAAAAATAAAACATGTTTATATTTAAGAAAAAAATTACTAATATAAAATAACGTTAATCATAATGAAAAGTACAAAAAATATATGATTAGTATAAAAAAATATGAAGTATAAAGTCTATTGCTTAAACATTTTAGAAAAAATATGAAGTATAAAATCTATTACCTAAACAATTCAGAGTTGTAGCACTTGGTAAAACAAATAATTTTGATAGTAATTTGTAACAAGATTTAAATTATTGTTTAGGGAGAATCCCGTTTGTCTACAGTTCTGATTGTGTACACCACTCACATCAACTGGTGCCTAGTAATTTTTTACTGTTTTGCCAATGAGATTATTTTATTTTTATTTGGCCAATCAGCGATACATGTGTGCAATATGCGATGTGTGCAATCAGAGTCCTCCCGTCATTCTCCTAGATCTGTTTGCAACTTTCGCAAGCATTAGAATCTTGCCACTGTATTGGCTGCAATGCTGGCACTGACAGCATCACATCCAATACGGTGGCAAGATTCTAATCCAGCTAGCATTCCAGTAGGAAAA